CACACACACACACTCTCTCTCTCTCTCTCTCTCTTATATACATAGGTTGAGTTCCGATGAAAATGAATGTTACGATGAGAAGGATAAGAATAGATTTTGCCCTTCGAATCAATCCTAATTAGAGATCAACATTAATGCGGTATACTAAAATGCACCAAATCAATTTGCGTGATAAGTGGAATTCATGGATGGATGTGAGATTAAAAGAGTAAGAAGGAATCTTAGTGATCAAAGGTCAAGCTTCCTTCTTACTCTTTCGACGGTAATTTTCATTCTCACACGATCTTTTGTGTGTGTGTGTGTGTATATATATATATATAGTCTCAATCATTTGCAAAGCTCCTAACTCATATAAGCCAATCAATTGAGATATTTATAAAATCAATGTAAGTTCATTTATTATGATTTAGATTTTTAAGAAAAATGATCAAAGTTCATGCATCATGGTCAACACTTTGAATTTAGAAACAATTAGGATATATAATGGTTAAAATTTATTAGATTAGATTTGATGTATAACGGTTAAAATTGGTTTGTAAAAAAAAAATATATATATATGTATGTATGTATGTATGTATGTATGTATGTATGTATGTATGTATGTATGTATGTATGTATGTATGTATGTGTGTGTGAAGAAAGAAAATAACATAGAGGTCTTGGTTTCATATTACTTTGGCTTGGGTAGCTGATTCTAATGGGACTTGTTGGTCAATATATTTTTAAACCAACTTGCACCAATCACAAAAAATCCCTTTTCCACATCCCTTCCCGAATCGATTTCATCAATTATGACGTCATAAGTTTAATGATATTCGATGACGACATCTATTTCTGCGTCTTCTTAATCAATGTATCCACACGTGTTTATCAAAAACAGAACTGATTTCACACGATACAAAACCAGTTTTCTACGTTCAAAAATTTCGGTATTCATATCTGTATATTGTAACGCGATACACGTGAACGGTGATTGTAGGAAGCTAAGAAGAATGGTGAAATAGAGAAGTTTCGAGGTGGGTTCGATTGAGGTTGCATGGAGGAGGACATTTGATGTCGTGGCTTGACCAAATCCATATTTTTATTGGTCCTTCTAGACTGCTTTGTTTTTCTCCCATTTAACGGTCAACTTCTCCCATCCAATTTTACTTTCAAAAATACCCCTTTCACTATATTTCATATCCACAATTTGCCTTTTAAGAAAAATAAATTTGCATTTTGGTCCAGATTCTATCTTTTGATTAGTTAAAACAATTTAGGGGTTGTTTGGTTACCAAATGTTTTATTAAGTCTTGTATGAATAAATTTGTCTGTCTGAATAAATGCGTGTTGTTGTTTACTTTTTTTATCTGAACCAACAGTCTGAATAACATAAATGACCGATTTACCCCCCCAATATTAATTATTTGAACATCAAAATAAAAAATTATAAAGAGGCTGACGATGGGGTGTCTCATTTGAGAAGGAGCCGATGCTTCTAATAAGGGGTAGGGGTGTCATTTTGTGACTGAATGGGGACAACACACCATTTTTAACTATGCGATTAAGTCATGTTCTGTGTGAATAAGCCGTAAATAAATAACCCAAATGAGTTATGTGAATAAGCCAGATAGACCAATAAGCCTAATTAAGCCGCAAGTAAACAGCCCATAAGTCTTGTATGAATAAAGTTGTATGTGAGGATTAATTTATTTGTATAGATTGGAAATTTTTTTTGTTTGGAAGAGTTTTTCATAGATAATATGAGCATGTTTTTTAATTGGAAATGATATGTTTGGAAAATTTCTGACTTTCTGTATAAAGCTCATCTGTAGAAACTTACTGAATATGTCACTTTCTATATCATTAAGAACTTTCTGTTGGTTATGACTTTCTTATTCTTTGATGTAGTTGTCTTCTTTAATTCGATTCCCCCATAAATAAACCCTTTGCATTAGCTTATAACGAACAACATTATCATCAAGAAGACTGGGATTAAACTAATCAAAGGATCAAGACACAAATATGATTTAGCAACTCATCTCGAACAACAACCAATTTAGGATATGGGACCAAAAATGCAAAAAATTAAAAGGAAATGGTAGAATTTGAAGAACAACAGATTGTTAAAGGGCATTATTTGCAACTCATTTCATTTAAAGATACAAAACAACAGCTATGTATCATTGACCCAATGAACACCCC